TGCTCATGTATAACGCTTCATAGAAAGCTGAATTGTCATTTTCACCATGAATTGCGGATCCTTGAGGCTTTCCCTTTGTCTCATCTTGAGGACAGGTTTTGTTAAGTTGTTCACCACAAAGATTCAGATTTCCTTCAAAACTAGAGTCATCAAAAGTCTGCAATTGTCTTCCAAATGGAATTCTTCCAGAGAGAGAGTTGTTTGATAAATCTAGCTTTGCAAGACGATCAATTTTGGAAAGAGTAGAAGGAATTTTTCCCCAAAAATGATTTCTTGATAAGTCTAGAAAATCTAGAAAACTCAAATTCCCAATCTCTGGAGGGATTTCCCCACTCAAATTGTTTCTTGATAAATTCAAAGAAACTAAGCCAAGCAAATATCCAACCTCTTTTGGTATTTCACCTGTTAAATTGTTACTTGACAGATCAATGCTCTTAAGAAGAAACTCTGGATTCTTGAACCCATATTCCTCACCTTTCCACATCAACGTTATGTAAAGGGTATAATCATCACCGGGATAGAATAAACCATAAATTTCAGACAATGTACTGTTGTCCGAATATATATGACTCCGAGTTTCAGTTGAGTTAATGCTCTTTTCAGACATTGCAGTGAAATTCTTAAAGCATGTTGGAATTCCTTTAGATAAGTTATTCCTTGAAAGATCCAACAGTTGAATACGCCTTAAATTACATAGATGAATAGGTAGATTTCCAGAGAAGTCATTACCTCGCATGGTCAAGATGATCAATTGCTGCATATTTTCTCCTATCCATGATGGTATTGGACCGAACAACAAATTTTCACCCATTAAACTGTTGTTTCGTAAAACCAAAGCTTCCAATTTAACAAGTGTGCCCATAGACGGTGGAATCCTCCCTGACAAGTTATTATTGCTTAAATCAAGAAACAATAATGAGTTTACAGATTTCCAACAATCTGGCAGTTGTCCCTTTAGTTTATTGATTGATAAATCTAAAGTGGCCAAGTTTGCAGTTTCACTTTTGTCACACAAGAATGAAAATAAATCTGAAAACTTATTTTGGGAAAGCATAAGGTCTGAAGCTTGTAGCAGAAAAGACGGAATTGCACCCCCAAATTGGTTTGAATTCAAAAGTATAGACGGTTTAAGAGGAAGCTTGAATGGTAAATTTGGAATTGCACCCATGAGATTGTTATGAGACATATTCATCCAATCAATATATTGTGAGTTGTACCAAAGCCATTCCGGTACAGAGTCATTAATCCCAGCATCAGAAATATCCAGATAGATTATGGAACTCTGAGTTTGGAGCCAACTAGGAAAACTCGGACCCAACTTGCAAGATGCAAGAACCCAGCTAGACTCAAATTTTAGAGATAGTGAGTTGGATGATAATTCCAAGACCCTTAATTTGAAAAAATTAGAGAGATGCGATTCAGTGACGTCACCCTCCAAAGAATTCCCCCCCAAGTACAGATCTTCCAACTCAGATAGTAATCCGATGCTTTTAGGGATCATGCCAGTAATTCGGTTATAAGATAAATCCAAGCTCTGCAATATGTGTCTATTGCACCATGAAGAATTCTGTATGAAGCTGGAAAGATCCCCACTCAAGTTGTTATATGAGAGGTCTAATGTCTGTAAGGTGCACATATTCCCAAATAAAGTTGGAATCTCTCCTTGCAGTTTGTTGTAGGGGAGGGAAAGATATTCAAGAGAATTCATAACTTTCCCAAATTCTTCTGGAATGGGACCTTCTAAGAAGTTCCCTTGAAGGTCAACTGTATGAAGATTGGTGGTGAAGTTAAAAAGCCAACGGAATATAGTCGATGAAGTCAGCAAGTTATTAGAAAGATCAAGGGAGACAAGAGAAGATGAAAAGTTCATATTAAAGGCAGGTGGTACAAGAAAACTTCTATCCAAAAGACTACAATTTTGTAGAGAAAGCCGTTGAAGTTTGGAGCTGAAGTTGAAGTCATCTTGAAGCATTGATGATGTCAGATTATTATAAGAGAGGTCAAGGATCAGGAGAGAAGGGAAGTCTGGATAGAGAGGAGCTGATGAACGAAAATCATTATGAGAAAGATAAAGCTCCTCAAGATTAAGGCTAATGTTTGACAATTGAAATGTTGACGATGTCAGCATATTGAAAGAGAGATCAAGGATGGTGAGAGAAGTGGAAAAGTTAGAATGAGAATGAAACAAAGATCGAATATCATTATCTAAAAGACTACAAGCAATTAGCCTTAACTCTCTTAAGTTTGGAATAAGCGTACTGATGGTTTGAAGCCAGTGATGAGAAGAGACAAGATTAGGAAATGACCTCAACTCAAGAATTGTTAAGGAATGCAAATTAGACAACCACTCTGCATCCTTAGTTTTGACATCAAAATCTCCACCGAGCCTAAGAGTATTCAACATATGAAGATTCCCAATTTGAAAAGGGATTGCTCCAGAAAATGAATTTCCTCCAAGATCAAGATACTGAAGTTTTGAGAGATTCCCAATCTGCAAAGGTATTACTCCAGAAAGATAATTTCCTCCAAGACCAAGATATTGAAGTTGTGAGAGATTTCCAAGCTGATAAGGAATCCTCCCACCAAATGCAGCATAAGAGAGATTGAGATATCTTAACTTGGCGAAGGAGCCCATGAGTTCTGGGATGTGACTCTGAAAAAATTCATTATCGCTGAGGTCCAAATATTCGAAATAGTGCAAGTCAATCAATGGAGTGATATTGATTGCACCTCTCAAATATTGTGTATCGTGACCACGAAGATCAAGCATAAGTACATGACCTGTTTCATTGTTGCATTCAATACCTCTCCATTTGCAACAATCTCCCCCTCTCCATGTAGACAGCATGCCATAGGGATCATGGAGGCCTTGTATGAAGTTGAGGAGTGCTTGTCTTTCCCTCTCAATGCAATTTACTTGTTCACTAATTTTACTAGTCAAGTTGAATCCGAGAGTAGAACTTGAGGTATGCAATAAAAGCAGTAGCAGCAACGCATAAAACATTTTAAGAAAGTAACTGCTCCTCATTATGTATATTCACTGCAATAACAACTCTTTAGATGTCAAGATTCAAAACTCAACAGCATGATATATATATATATATATGTATGGGGCAAGATATTCTTACACCGGTGTAAGAGTTACAAGTCTTACACTCAATCTTGACCATTGATCCACTTATATCCAATGGCTCACGTTACTAAAAAATTTGAGCCTTAGATATAAGTGAGATCAGTGGACAAGATTGAGAGTGTAACTTACACTGGTGTAAAATGATCCTAACCCTATATATATATATATATATATATATATATATATATATATATATAAGAGATTCAAATTCAAAATCTGCGTGGTGTCACACGGATTTTGTCTGATAATCAATTCTTTTAAAAGCTTAAAAGACTTTTTTATTTATTTACTTTGTGCTCGAATTCATTTTTTTTTTATTTGATAAATTGGAAGGGCAAGGATGGAACTCTAAAACACTTGATCATAGGTTCTGATGCTATATAACACAACTAATTTTCCCAAAATAATAATTTGTTAGGAGTAGATAAATGAATACTTTTATAAATTAAGAAAAAATAATATTTTTACTTCGGTTATTAATTTTAATTAATAATAAGCAAAGAAAATATAAAGGAAATTATAATAATACAAAATAAACGCATCCTGAACTATCCAGCCGTACCAAGGGCTATTTATTCTACTCAGCTGTACAGTAAAACTCTACGTTGTATTCGTTGGAAATTAATAGGTAATCTTTTTTATTCTAATTTTTTTAATTTGTAATATCCATTTTCGAATTCTTCCTTTCTCACAGAGATATATATCAAACAAGTTTTTTCTATGAAGTAATTTTGTATTTTACTTTATAATTAACAGTATTTCAAAAATATTTAAATCATTTAGTTATATGGTAAGGTCACATCTACCTTAATGCAGGGATGGCTTTTTGCAGCAATAGACCTGTATAATTATTTTATTCTAAGTCTTCCAATCCATTTTGTAAGGTAGAAAATTACTCGGCAGGTCAATAACGTCAAGAAGGAAAATAATACATACAGGGATGGCAAGTAGTGCCAAGACTTTAAGTCGTCAGGTCTTCGAAGAAATTTTCTACACAAATATAATTTAAATCAAACCATAATTACTCCAAAACCAAGAAATAACATGTACTGTTTCATATTGACATCGATGCTTGTTTTCTTCTCATTTTTCTAACTAACAAGGTAGAAAATAAAGTGCAATATCAGATATGAAAATGAAACTAGTGCAAAGACATGAAGTTGTTATATAGTCTTTTGTAGAAATGTATCACACAACTATATATCCATCATATCATAAGTGTATTACTTCAAAAGTATAAAGGGAAACAAAATTTGCAAATATACAAAGTTAAGTCTAAGAATGCAACAGCAATAACTTAAATTTAACTATCCAAATAGTCCAAAAGAAAAAGTAACAAAAAAAAAAAAAATTGTATTTTATTAAAGAACTGCAACGTCTTGATCCCACAATTAAAAGTATATCGATAGTTTACCAAAATATATATATATATATATATATATATATATATATGGAAAAACATTATCTACTTTTGCAGGAAAGTATATATATATATATATATATATATATATATATATATATAACGCCCTATATATATATATATCGAGTAAGCCCAAAATCTATAATTATTTTAATTCAACCTTTAAGGTTTTAGTATATTTTCTCGTTATTGCCTATTTCTTTTGGTTTAAGAAGTAGATTCACATCAACATCAACAACACCTTTATCCCAAATTAATTGGGGTCGGTGGTAGATGAACCCACGTGAAAGATACAAAACGGTTGAAAAAAGTTGAAAAAAAAATAAAAAAATAAAAAAATAAAAAAAAGTAAAAAAGTAAAAAACCCAAAAATAAATAAATAAAAATAAACAAATAAAATAAAAATATAAAATAAGATAAAATAAAATAACAATATATATATATATAAATAAATAAAAGTAAAAAAGAAAGGGACAAGAAGAAGTGGGGGAAAAAAAGGGAAAAAGACTAAAAAGGGACCATCTGGAACATAGGAATAACAGCGGGTCTAACCCTCCACCATACTTATAGCTTTTCTCCATGATCAAATTTCAAAATATTTAAAAAATGATATGACTTATACAGTTAATTTCAAAATAACTATCTTAAAGTAGATGTATGAAAAATGTACATGATCAAATTTCTATCATTCTTTGTGTAAGATTAGAGTTTAACCCATTTAAAATTATCAGATTTCAATTTTCTCTAATTTTTCTCAATTTGAAAAACAGTGGTGCCTAATAAATTTTAACTAAATATGTAATTATATTTACAAATTCTTTAATTTTTGAAAATTTATTGTTGAATTTATCCATATGAGAATTATTTTTAAAATCTACATCTCACCAAAACTGTAATCGTATGTACTCAGTTTTCGTGGTAAGGTTTCATCCACAATAATGCAGGAAGAAGCCGTCTCTGTATTTTATTCTAAGTCTTTCAACCCATTTTGTAAGCTAGAAAATTACACAGGTGTATCACATCAAAAAGGAAAATGACACTAGTGGAAAGACCTTAAGTTGTTAGGTCTTCTAAGAAATTTCCCAAGTATACTTTATCAAAACCATAAAATTTGCTAATTATAAATTCATTTTATTATATTTTTTGGTAAATGCTGATTATAAATTTATTAATTCTTGATGTGTGTGAGAAAATTCCTGACTCATGAATTTTCGCTATCAACACTAGTGTTGGTTGTCTCTTGGGGTAGTAAACAAATCAGAGGCCTTTCAGGGGCTTTAACCTGACTCGTGAAGGCCTGAGTTTACATATCTAAAATTGAATGTTGGAACCATGTTTTGGCTTGTATAAAAGTTCGTTTAATAAAATGGCCCCATACTCTAATTCAAAAGCTCGTTCTTAGAGCCTTTCAGACTGGCCTAGTATACTAAGTTTTATTCAGACATATTTGATTTTTCTTCCTATGCACTTTTTTTTATCAGTCTATTCTCTTATTTTAGGTTTCTAACCCATACATTGGAAAATTATGCAATCACATGAAATAGGTAAAACGCAAATTCTTATCGATGTGATGTGAAAATTTAAATATATATATTTATATATAGTTATGAAAAACAAATAAATGTCCAATGGAATGAACTGACTATTTGAGGAGGAGACCGGTTAAAGATGAGGATATCCTCTTTCATGCCAATGCCTTGTTTCTCAAACTAATTCACACATTTGTTGACAGACATAATTTTGAATAATTCTGAATAGATATAAGCTATTATGAAGAAATTTTGAATATAGAATTAAATTTATATACATCTATCCGAGTCATGTGGTTCAACCAGTGACACTGTGTTGAACGAGTGACCTAGTGACTCACTACCCTAGCCGAGTCGATGATCGGTTCAGATTTAATAACATTGATTTTTGATACATTACATTTAGATATAAAAAAATTAATTATAAAGGATGGAAATGAAATTAATGAACTAAAAGTAAGATAAAAGAGTTTCTTAAAAGCTAAAAATGTGAGGTAATAACATAGTTGATGAAAGTATACCTTTTTATCCAATGAACGTAACTCAGTTGGCAATACAGACTGAGTAGAGTAGGGAGAGAATTTGAGTTCGATTTTACCAAATACATATTTTGGGAGGAACGATAAGCTTTAAATGTGACTAAGTTCCAACTCAAAACTAGTCACATAACTAGCTTAAAGTGTTGACACTTATGGAGATATCCGGGAGTCGACTTATCTCAAATAAGTAATTAAAGTGGGATCCAATTCATGACATGGGCACGATATCAATTGGGAATCCCAATCCATTTTTACGCTTAGGGTGACATCAGATTTGAATATTAAGAATACCTTATTCTAAATTAGTTAAAGTGATTGGTTAATAAACTCAAATAAAAAGAAAGAAAAAATTGAGGGAAAGGAAAGAAAAAAAGTAAAAAATAACAACAATAATAAATAAATAAAAATAAATAAGAGAAAATTATAAATATGACGAAAAAGTAAATTAGAATGGGAAGATATATAAATATAGAAAAAAACTAAAAAAACCATTTGGAACATAAAAAAGATCGAGTCTATCCTTTTATTGTTTTAATAGTTTTACTCTATTTCGTCCTAAGATCATCCACAAATTTATTTCTCATTCCATTAAATTTTGTATTTGTCAATTTTCCAAACTCACAAAAGAATTATAATATTTGGTATGTTAGTAAGAAGACAATCATATAAAATCATTTTGTATTTGTATTTTCTATTTTTGTTTTAATACCCTTTCGCTTGCAAAATGAAAGAAATTCACCATGTGTATATTCTCCTCCGTTGTTCATCCTCAAGCACTTGATCTTTCTCCCAGATTCAAGTTCTACTTCTGCTTTTAAGTCTTTGAAGGTTTGGAACACATCTGACTTCTTCTTGATTAGGTACACCCATAATCTCCTGGAGTAGTCATCAATGAATGATACAAAATACTTTGCTCCTCCAAGGGGAAATTCTAGTGACTCCCACGCATCAGAACGAACCAAGTCTAATATGTATATGCTCCTAGCAATTGAAAGAGCAAACTTTAATCTACTCTGCTTACTTGTAACATAGTGCTCATAGAAAGGTAAGTTTATCGACTTGAGCTCGTGAAGAAAATTACGTTCTGCAAGAATCTTCAAGCCTCGTTCTGACATGTGGCCTAGTTTGAGATGCCATAGTGTTGTTAATTCTTCTTGACCGGATGAAGCTACTAATGTGTCTTCTTCTTGCAATGTATCTGTCATACGTATGTAGAGATTCAATACGATGTTCTCTGTTTTTATCACCACAAGATAACCTTTCACAACCTTCAAGATCCCTCCTTCAATACTTGCACACGAGGTCATCTAATTGTCCAATAGACATTAGATTCTTCTTTAAGCCCTTAACATGTCATACCCCTTGAACTGTGTGAACAATACCATCATATATTTTTATCTTGACAGTACCAATTCCGACA